GGTATTCTATTTTTATTGCTTAGTCGTTCTAAATAGTGAGTAAATTTAGTTCAAGTTAATATTTCAATATCTACAGTTGCAATATAATAAATAAATGTTTAATGTTGAACTTTATTTTATTTATTTTTTATCTACATTTATTATAAAAAACTTTAGAACCCCTGTCATTAAAATAATTTGTTTTAAATATACATCGACGTGATTATTCAAACTAATTTTTTTCGTTTGAATTTCCGAACTTCATGCAAAGCAAATTGAAACAAAATATCGTCTAACCATATAAAAATGCTGTTACTAATTTTATACGGGTAATTAATGTAAAACAATTTTTTATCACAACTTTGATTGAGATAATAAATATTCATAATTTATAAACATTAAATATATGGCGTAATAACAATTTATAGCAACGAACCAGCATAAAATATTTGAGGTTTTTAATATCTTTTTAAATGGTAAAAATAGAAAAAAAAAAATTCAAAAAAATTCAAAAAAATTTCGGATAAAAATATTTCCAGAGTTTTATTTGTTAAAAGTCTACCGTGACGTCAAATACTAAAACTTTTATGAATTAAACGCGCTTCGAAGGAATCACCAAAGTCTGTAGATTGCGACGTATTATTTAAAGACTCCGAGTTATTGAAAAAAATGGAGAAGACGAGCTTCAGCTAAAACAACATTATTAGTTTTTCTTAGTATGCATTCATTATTTATTTTTAATCAAAAAAACTTGGTTTAAACCTTTTTTTTCAACATTATCTTTAATATAAACACAACATGTGTTGGGAGTTTGGGATCCCTTTAATAATGACAATAAAAAAGGGCATCTGCAATTAGCTATAAAAAAATCTGACTGACAGAAAAAAAATTTATTTTAAGTTTCTCAAAGATAAGATGTATAGCAACTTTACGAACCAAATTTTTTTTAGCCTTACATTTACTTGAGGAGTTATTAAGGTTTGATATGAAAACAAAATTTTGTGATATTTTAAAAATCAGGCCATCTATTCCAACTTTTTACAAATTAATCAAATTAAAAATTAACAGTTTAATAACTTAATTGTTTTTATTAATTTTTACAACTAAATTATAAGGTATAAAAAAACCTTTTGAAAATTAAATACTCAATTTAAGTGATTTTATATATGCTTTTCATTCGCATTATTTATAAATTGTACAAAAAATAAAAAATTTAAAAAAAGTATGGATCAAACTCAGCAAACTTGAAATTAGTTTAAATATAAAAATCTCTATTTCCTAAGGAAAACAATTTTTTTCAAGCCATGTTTGGCTAAATAGTAGTAAAGCCCTGTTTTTGTAGTCAGTACTTCAACTTTGCAAATTATGTGAACATCTGAAATCCAGCATTGGCTATCCACTGGTGGCCATTTAAACAACCGTGCAGGACCATTTGGACACATAAATTTGACAACCACATCTTTTTCTTCTAGATTAATGTCTTCAATGACCCCTATCCACCACTTTTGCTCATAGGAAACACAGGCATAATCACCTGGTACTAAGTATACAGTTTTTACAGGGATGTTTTCAAAGTCATGAATAAAAGCAAAATCTTCATCAACACTGCATAGCTTTGCGCCAATCTAAAAAAAAAAGCAACATATGTTTTATTTATTTTGTTAAACATGTTTTATTAAAGGCATTAAAAAAAAATTGTAAGTCTAAATAAAACAAAAATACTTTTGACAATGATTCCACACATATAAAAAATCTAATTTGAGTTTATCAATAAAAATTATGAATGTTTTTTGAAGAATGTTTTTTAACCTTTTGATCACCAAGTGGTACAAACTGATGGTAACTACGTGTTCCAGGTATGGTACTTGCAGTATCCAATCATTGCTTAAAAGTTAAATCTTGTGATGATATATAAATGAAACGAACACCTTCAATGTTTTCATTGCAATATTTGTACATTGCTTGTGGAGATAAAATATGATTAACTAAATCTTTTTCCAAGCTCGCTAGTGCCGCTAAACGTTTGACTGTACCACCTATCCCATCACAAGGTTGCTTACCGTGACTAGTTGCAAAAAAGTTCCATTTAGCAGAAAGACCAAAATCTTCAAGATGGAAATAAAGATTAAAAATATTTTTACAATTGTTATATTGACCCACACACCCATCTGTAAAGTATTCAATATATTTTATTTGAGGTAGTTTTGTTTTAATTTCATTGCTGACAACATCAATAATTTTATACACTATGTTCACATCATGCATCATATCATCTGAAACAATACAATAAGATTTGTGATTGAGAAAACCTTCTTTTTTGAAATAAATAATCACAGGATGAAGTGTTTATTGTAAGTTTGTCCAATGAAAGCTTTATACTTTATCCTGAACTACAAATTTATAGTTTTCTGAAAAATCACCCAAAAATAACATTGTTAACTCATTCATATCTTCCTTTCTTGATCTCAGGTACGATGCTTGACACTTAGCTAAATACAAGTGTGGTGCAAGTTTTGTCAGTATTTTACATACTAGTTCAATGTATTCAGACACTGGCTCTTTATAATGTTTTAGGTTTCTGTTGTTGTATACTGATCAAATTCTACTTAATCATCATCATCAAACTTTCCAATTAAATTATAAAGTTTTTCAACCAATGCATTCATAGTTGCTGGGTATCTTTCACATTTACGCAGCATACAGTCTTTATTAGTCATGTCATATACAGTATAAGGTAACAGTTATTTGTATGTCACACCAAGAGGATGTAAAAGCAGTTTTAAATTCTGATGAATAGAACTGACACATACTAAATGTGTTCCTGAAGCACCAGCAGTAATACACCATTTTGGTTGTAATGTGCAAAACCTTGAAAACCAAATTTTTATTTCTGGGTTCATAGTTTTGAAAGCAACAAACAATTCCTTTAAATTACATAAGAGCAAATATTTTTGCATGTGAACATTTTTCTTTATGCTTACATAGTCCTTTTTATCAGGCATTATACAGCTATATTCATCATCTTCATAAAAACACTTGACCAGTTGAACTGTTACGTCAGGAAGAACTTTTCCTACTTTAGGATTAGGCATGGCTAAAATACCTTTTTCTAATGCTAATTTACATGCAGTTTGAGCTACATAGTTTGTTACGTGTAGTGTTTCAGAAACTTTTTTTATTGACCAATCAGTTGGAGCAAGTGTTGTCAGTTGTATTTTTGTAGATGTTGCTGTAGACTCTGCAATTTTATTAGTTAACAATACCATTAGGTTATCAAAAAAGTTTGCTTTTTCTATATACTCAGTACCGAAACTTAAGGGAAGTGGCTACTTTTTTTTAATGGAGGTTGTTAATGCTGTCAATTTTCGTTCACTTTCTCTGATTTTACCTGACTTATGGAATCCTTTGACTTTAGTATGAGATACTCCAGCAGTTGTAAAGTGTGTATTTACACCCTCTTTTTTATTTTGAATGGATGTTTCACTAACAATATCAAAATCTTCATCATTATTTTCACACATACTTTTCGATAAATGTTTCATAACTTTACTATTACAGGTTGGACACAGCTTTTTTCCAGGTATAAGATTTAAACCTACAGTTTCTCTTCTAATACAGTATACATTGTAATCACAGATAGAGATGCTGATGTTTGTTCCAATTATTATTAAAACAATGAACAACTATTATTAACTATACTATTATTAAAACAATGAAAAATTTAAATAACAAATTTATAAGTTTTCAAAGTATTTTTCAATATTTTGTAACAACTTTGTAAAAATTTAAATCACATAACACACATACTGTTTTTTTTTAAAAACTGACTCAAAATTATATTAAAAACAAACATAGTTTTATTTAATTCAATATCAAAATGAATTTGCTCACTTATTTTTTATTTATTATTTTTATTTCTTCAGAAAAATTGAAAAAACCAAAATATCAATAACTCTTCAGCAAAACATGGCCAAACAAGGCCAAAACGAAATTGGCTCGTAAAGTAGATATATGTCTAATCTTTAAGAAAACTAAAACCAAAAGTTTTTTCTATCAGTCATATTTTTTTCTAGAACTATAGTTATCTTTTTATTGTCATTAGTGTGTTTTGTAAATTTTAAAATAAATTTATATATTTTGTTGTTTTGAGAGATACAAATCTATAATTTTTAGATATAACAGGATTCAAACTCCTTTGGTATCAAATTTTAGCTTTGCAAAATTACTACAAGCACCTTATAAAGGTAATAGTAAACAGACACATTTCCGTCACTTTTCCCCCCTCATTTTTCAGTCAAAATCTAACAAACTTTAAGTTGCTATAATTCTTTAAGAGACAAACAATTTTTGAAAAAAAACTCAGTCTTTCCTAACTTACATCTTTACACATTTGTGCCAAATTTCAGCCAATTTGGTGATGAGGGTGCAATCCCTTGTTTTTTAAAAAAATTTTACTCACACCTCTTATATATGGCGGTGGTCTAAAAGCAAATTATATTTACTTTTTATAAACGAATACCTCTATTTTACAAGGCAGACACTTTTTTATGAAAAAAATATGTTTTTTTAAGGTTGATGGTGGCAGTTTAGCACCCCCTCTAGCCCCTGGGTATGCCCAGTCTGTTAAAGTCATTATAAATTTGTAACTCACAGTTACACCTATCTTTTGATACCAAGTTATACCCATTTGGTTAAAAACAGACAAGTGCAACTTTTTTTGAGTTTAAAATTCCATGCATAAAACAAACTGAACACATAAATACTTTAAAAAGCCAATATCATAAGTTTTTTTATACATAACTTTGGAAGATAACTAACATCCTTTATTTTTCAAAAAGTATTATAAAGCTAAAACTATTATAAAGCAAAAAACTAAAATTAAGATTATAAATATCTATGCTTAGATAGGCAATATTGGTCACCTAATTTATAATTTGCAGCCTTGTTAACATTGACAAAATTGTTATTTTGTTATAACGCATTAAAAAATTTAAAAAAAAAAAAATGAAAAAGAAACTTACTACACTCATAGATTCTTCAGGTAACTTAGGAGCAAGTGCTTTTTTCAAAGGATTAGACGATACCATAGTTATCAACAATAATGAAATACTGAAACTTATAACTTCCATTATCTTTTTACAATTATCCTAAAGGTGTTATTTATTTACTATTAAATGAAAGTACTAATATTTTATGTCAACCATATACAATAATAAAAAAATTTCATTTGAATAATAAGTACAAAAAATATTTATTATATGCAAAAAAGGAGAAATATAATTAAATGTTAGTAAAATAAAAAATTATTGTTATCATCTTCAATCTTTTAGTAACAATAAATTATTTATCCCAAATCATTGTTCAATAAAATATGGTCATAAATTTATCAAAAACTAATGCATAACATCATGGAATAATTTACATCTTTAATCATTAAATTCTACCACACAACCTTTTTGCCTATTTATTAGAGTTTTTTTTTTCCTTTCCCAATTAGTTGGAAATTAATGGTATTATTTTTTGTTATTATTATTATTTTTAATTTAACTGTTATTACTACCATTAATACTTACTAATATCATTTAGTATTTATTTGTGTGTTTTAATCGATATTACTACTATTATTGCTGTTGTTTTTGTTGCTATTTCTATTATTGTAATTATTATTGTCATTATTATATTTACAGTAATTTTGCTATTTAATAATTTTCTTCGGTAATTTAACTTTATTATTATGGTTTCTATTATTATCCAAGTAGTGCTTTGTTTATATTAGTATTCGAAATACTTGTGAATAACTATGAAACATAATGACTTTTATTTCAAAATATCTTATATACTGCTAATTGTTATCGAACAATTTCAGGTTTTCCTTTTATATGATCATATATAATGGTCGAATTTGTGGCCGGATACCTGCAAACAAAAAAAATCTAAAAAAATTATCACATTCTCGGTTTCAAATTATTTTTATTTTCTATTTGCATTTTTTTCTACACATAAATAGTATTATAAAATTAATACTTAATTGGTGGATATCGGTTAAGTTACATTATATATCATAGGTAATACACATTATGGTTGCACGCCTGACGTGGCAATAAAATTAATAAAAACACTAATTATTATCAATAACAATTACTATTTTTCTAGCGGACATTGAACTTGTGTTTGCTAATTAATATATGAGTAAAAAAGAATGAATCATATTAATTAATCGATGTGCTTATGGATACATAATATTGATATTCAATGTTGCTCAATACGGTCCGCAAACATGCATTACAGTGGGAAAAAATAGCCAAAAATTGAGAAAGTGACACTACAAATACAATGTCTGATTGTTCTAATTTATACCTTTTCAGTATTTTGATACTATTCAGTCTATTGTTGCTACTTGCTATCCTGAGAAATGTCATTAATACCTGAATAAGAAATTTAATGTCTAAATAAGAATTGGTGGTATTTTAACCGGAGTTACATAAAAATATTTTATATCCAGAGAAAATTCCCAAGGATGGGGGAGGAGGGGAGGGCGTAGGGAGCGTCTAGTCGCCCCAATGAAATTTATTTGGACACTGGAGTTGGGAAAATTGGATCTATAGTTAGCAGTCGGCAAATGTCAGCCAACGAGGACCTTTTTTATTTTTTCAGATCATAATAGGCAAAAAACAGATACGTCAGCAGGCCCCTAATAGTAATAAGGAACTCATTTTATATTCATTTTTGCTGGTGGATATCCCCATCAGTTGTCTACCGAGTCCCCAAAGCGGTTCCTTCTCTTATTCGATGCTTCTGTTAATACCCCTATATTTCAATTACAACAATTCATTTTTAAATCCAGCAAAAATACTACAACAGAATAAATACTGGAGAGATATAATAAGCTCCTTGCAGAAAAAAAACGTTCTTTAAGAATGTGACAAACCAATAACTAAAAAGAAAGCAAAAGAAAAAGTTTAAACAAGTAGTAGAGATTATTTAAAACTTTGACATTATACCTAGTATCGAGGTATTCAATAAAAGATTACTTTACGTACATCGTGATTTTTGTTATGATAACTTCTTGACCGTTTGAACTCTTGTTAAAAATCTAACCAGTCAACTTTTAAGAGAAAAACCCATTTCGGTTACACCTATCTAAGATTACAAACTATATTTTAAAATTTTCCTTTTTCAATGCAAAGGCACCATTTCGACTAGCTGCTGTAATAATTATGCTATTAAGCCTGTACCACAATTTTAAAAGATTTTTGGCTTCATTTTCCCTCCACCTAGTCTATTATACCCATATGCATTGGTCAATCGAAAAATAGAAAGAATTTCTTAAATAGTTAAACAACTTTTATTTACTTTGGAAATATATTGATGTGAACTAAGAAACGGAGAAAATATATTTTAATTAACTTTAATTAAGACTAATTGTGCAATCTTTTCAGATTTCGAAAAATACTTTTAATAATGTAGATAGTGGATTTAATTACGTTATGACAGAAATTTATGTCAGAGAAGACAAAGTTTATTAAGAAATAGATGGAAATTAACCTTTGTAAAGTATGTGATACAATGCATCACATGGAACAAAAAATATGTTTGATAGTAGAAATTAGGTTTAGCCTATTTCAGGTTTTGAAACAAATAGTTTAGTTAAATTACCAACAAACCAATATATACAGCTATGCACAAAAGTTAAACCGAGATTGTAATTTTAATCAAACTTTTTAGGGGTTTTTTAACTGAAAAAAATCTGGAAAATGAGTTTTATTAATTTTTTTTATTTTTAAAAGAACAACTGTTAGCCATACAATTAACATTAATAAGATAAGATAGTTAAAAAAAAATAATTCAAAAAAATTAAATAAATAATCATACAAACATAAAATAAGTTGTATAAAGGTTTAATCGAGTTAAGGTTTAGAACACAAAAAACTTAAAAAAAAAAATTTAATATTTAGTTGGCTTGATAGCAAAGAAGAATTCGTTTTTGCATTGATTTGACCAATTTCATGCACATCTTATGTAGCACTTTTAATCAGTACTTGTTCAGAAGTTGCTTCAAATGCTAAGTTGATTGAGCTTGATGGTTTACCAATTGAGTGTCGATCCGTGACCAAATATTTTTTATTGGGTTGACATCTGGAGATCGAGGGCAACAAATTGATTTTTTTTGTGGTAAACCAGTTTTTTATATTATTTGCTGTGTGTGCTGGAACCCAGTCTTGCTGGAAGCTGTATTGCTTGCTTCTGCCGCACAATCCAAACGTGTTTAAAGAACGAAATCAAACGTTTTTAAGTTTGTTTTTGTAGGTATATTGGTTTATACGGCCATGATACAGCTCTCAAAAATCAATGCCTTTGTGAGAAAAACATCCCTATATGTCTACTGAGCCTACACCACCTTGTCGGCTTGCTTGTAAATAGTGCTTGCAATATTTCTCAATTGCAAATCTTTTAAATGTATGTTCTTCCTTTGAGATTCACTACCTGAAAATTTGACGCATCGCTCCATATCACTTTTTCCCAACCTTCAACTGCCAAATGCTAACTTTCACCATTTTCGTCTTTTGCGTTGGTCCATAATTGACAGTATAGGCTTTCTTATTGCAATGTAAGACCCAATACCTTTTTTTCCTAATGTTCTTCTGACAAGTTCTTTGCTTATATTTTGATGAGAAAAGGATTGGTTGAATATTTGGGCTAGCTTTTTGTTGCTGAGCCTAGGATTTTTTTCTACTTGTTCTAAATATGCAATTTTTGTCACGGCCACTAAGCTTCAGTGGTCTTCCAGAACGAGGTATGTCAACGATGTTACCTATTAGCTCCAAGGTTTTCACTGTTTTTTGCACGCAAATTTCAGAAGCACCAATGAGTTTATAATTTCAACGTTGTTATGATTCTTTAATTTGACCAGTCCAATAATTTACCATTTGATGCTCTCTGACACTGCTTTTCTGCCCATTTGCAAGCAAATTGAAATTTAAAATATTGCAGTTATTCTTTTGATAATTTTTTACAATTAAAATATTTTTTTAATAATTTTAAAGTTACTTTTTTTATTTAAGAATCATGAGTGGAGGAAAAGTACAGCAAACCGGACAGTGCCCAAAAGCGGACACATCAAAAAAACTAAATATCTTTAATAAAAATAAAGATATTTGCAAAATTTAAAAAAGTTCTTAATTTTTAGTGTGTGGAAAATTACAAAATTTCAAAAAAAATTAAATTTTATTAAATTTAATTAAATCTAATTAAATCTTTTTTAAATGTAAAGAAAACAATATAAAACTAATTTGCATTCCCACCCATTCCTCTCACATTCCGCAGCCTCTAGATGTTGGTGTATTTTGCCATGTTAAAGATGTTTGCAGTGATACCTTAAGAAAATTTGATGCTTAAAGTGGTTATAGCCATTTGTCTAAAAACAATTTTCCTTACACAGTTGTATAGAAGCAACAAAGCTTACACTCGTCACTCGTACTCAAATTATTGCTGGTTTTAAAAACACTAAATTAAGACAACATTGACAAATCAAAATTACATATTTGTCAAACTTTTAATAACACCTTAATAACATTATCAGTAGTTACAAAATCACCACGCAGCCCAACTTCTTTGCCTCAAACTGCTCAACAAACACAAACCTTAATTCCGCCTCCAACTCCAACTTCAATTTCAACTTTAAATTTAACTTCTCAAGAAGAATTGGCGACTCGTGTAAAAATCAGTTTTAAAAGAGTTCTCTTTAAGTAATTTCAATTCCAAAATGCTTACAATCATTCTGCAAAAAAAGCCAGAAATGTTAGAACAGTGGCTGATTAAGCTTTTACAGAAGAAGCATGGTTAAACAAGTTAAAAGAAAAAGAAGACGCAAAGTTATTAAAACGAATATATGTTGAAATTGCAGCAGCAGAAGTAGAAACTCCTGCCAAGAAAGCCAAAAAAAGTGCAAAAAGTATCCGCTTTTAGGGACAATTTTCCGAAAAGCGGACACTTTTTAAAAAAATAAAAATTTTATTTTCGATAGAAACTTGATGTTATAATTATTTTTTTTTACACGGCAGAATTCCTTTAATAAACAACAATATTCCATAAAAAAATCCTACAAATTCCCAATATTAAAAAAGTTATTTAGCTTATGGTGAAGAGTATCCAGTTTGCGATACTTTTACTCTACCCTTGATATTTATAATTTATAGCGGTAATTAAGTATATCGAGTGTGACAAATGCATTATTAATTAACTCGATTAAACTTTTACGTCATCAGTAAAATACATTGTTTGACGTTTAATTAGTTTAACGGAAGTAGCGGACATTTTTTTTGTTTGTTTATTTTATCTATACAAACATACAGGGCCGCCGAGAGCTGTCACGCCGCCTGAGACAACAATCCTTATTGGCGCCCTTATTTACTAAATTTTTACTAAACTATATATGAAGGACCTTTATTTTTTTTTTAGGTACCTATATTATGTTGCTACCGGAACAAACTGTCTCGGTAGCAACATAAATAGCAAAACACACACAAAAAAAAAAAAAACTTAAAATCCATATCCGTTAAATTTTAATGTAAGAAAAACTGGCACATAGTTATGATATAGCTGTATAACATTGTCATGTTCACCATGTTGGTCAATAACGGACGCTACTTTAGATTAGTCTTAATGACTATTTGTGGCTGTTTCTATGCTAAGCCAACAATATCTTCGGATATAAAAACATTGTATAGAAAAATATGGCATGAAAATTCAAATAAATAAATTTTAAGAAAATATAATAATAATAATAAATAGATAAAAAAAAAACAGATCGACAAATAAAAACTTAATGAACTGAGTTCTTGCATTAAAAATGATTGATGCCAAATATGACATAGAGTCTGTTGAAAAAATATTGTTATTTTCACAAATAACGTACATTTCATAAACACTATTTTAAAAAAATCTCAATTCACCTCCTCAAGGCCAAGAAGGCCACAGTAATTAAAGAGGGTACAAAATTGTAGATATAACCTTCTCTCAGCTTTATAACTCCAAAACACAACTTGAGCGCGGACTATAGTCAAGATTTATATCTTGACTATAGTCCGCGCTCAGATTGTTTCTTCGTGCAGCGGCCTTGTTATAACAAGACCGTTTCACGGAGAAAGAAGTTGAGCATGGTACTACCAGAGACGTGGTTTAAAAATATCGATCGAACTCAAACAAAAGCTAAAGTTAAACTTCAGGATCTTACCGACCTAATTAAAAAAAAAGTTAAAAGATCTAAAGGATAACAAAAAAACTCTGAAAAAAGATTAAATAATACTAATAAGTGGTTGGGGTATGTACCATCAAGCCGCTCAAATTATGCAATGTTGTCTAATTTATAATAACATTCTTAGTACAATGAGCAATCTAATACTCGATTCTTGATAGGACGTTTAAAGAATTTGGTTTGAGAACTAATGAACCATGAACTTGTGGATCAGAAACAAGTAATATTGTAAATTTATGCAAAATACGTTTTTTTGATCATTTTTATTTAAAAAAAACTTTAGAAATTATTATCTTTTATTGTTTGAAAATTATGACCACCTAAAGTTAACCGCCTCATTTTGGGGAGATTGCAAAACATTTTTATTTGGCTTAAGTATGAACATACATAAGCTTGGACAATTCCTAAAAGTGTCATATATGTAATATTAAAAATATCCCCCTTCCTGGTCCTTAAGTTAACTTGAAGGAAAAATGAAAAATATTATATTAAATTTCTATCTTACTTATTTGATGAAGTCATTTGAAATTCTTCTAAATAACAAAGCAATGATAGGCATGAAAAAAGCTTTGAAGAAACAATAGAAGCATATTTTTCTGACATATTTTGAATCGGTAGATATAATACTGTACATTTAAACAATTTTTATTTTGAAATGGAAATAAGAAATGGAAATAAGAATTTTCTTAGCGAAATCGGGCTACTAGGTAAGTATGGCTCAACGAAACAAAAAGCCTCATGCAAGCTTGTTTTTGTAGTATTTAAAAAAATGAAACTATTAGAGTGTAATGGTAATATTTTTGTTTGCTAAAGACTAAAGAAGATTCAATAATCTTATGTCATACACAACTATTAGTGCCGTATTAAAACAGTAATTATTTATTAAATTTACCCACAATACTTTAAAAAGCGGGGCGTAGCAGTTACATAGAAAATTTCAAAAAATACCAATACCATCATTTTACTACTTTATATCAATGTTTAGAATACGGTTTGCTTTTTTGAAATAGACGAGGAATAGTGTTTCATCTATTTGATATTAGGGTATATAATTTGAGTGGATAGGAGAAGGAGGGAAAGGAAGGAAGGTAACGGTGGAGGATTCAAACAACTTTTTTAGTGCGAATTTATAACAGGGTGGCCACTCAAATTTGAAAACGAAGTTCCATGACTTTTCCATGACTCTTCATAAACTTTTATAACAAATCACTAGAGTAGAATATTCAGTGTTTGTCATGCACGAAGCATTTACAACTTGGTCATTATAAAACATGCAAACCAAAAACTCTATGGTAGAAAGTTCCGAAATTATGTCTGAAAAAAACTCTTTTACTGCTCTAATAACTTACTCTGCAAAAATATCTTTTTTAAAAAGGACTCAGACTAGACATACTAAAACTTTTTTTTGCATCCTAAAAATATCACAAGTAGAAAAAAATAAAGATCGTTTTATAAAGTTCCATGAATTTTCCATGATTTTCAATGAAAATTTATAAAGCTCCATGAATTTTCCATGATTTTATATGAAAATTTATAAAGTTCCATGAATTTTCCATAATTTTCAATGAAAATTTATAAAGTTCCATGAATTTTCCATGATTTTCAATGAAAATTTAGGAATTCTCTGACTTTTTCCATGACGAAATAAAATTCCATGACATTTCCATGATTTCCATGACTAGTGGCCACCCTGTATAATATAAAATTAGTAAACATTTTCGTATTTTATTTTAAGAAAGAATTTTAAGTTTTTTAGTTAAGATTTTTTTTTGTTGTTATATATTTTAAACGATAGTCAGCTGACAACCAGCTTATTTACTCTGCAATCTTTTTTATAACTAAAAACTATAAAAAAGCACCAGATGAAGAATCATTAACATAAAAAAGCTTAGAGACATTTTAAATCAGGTATGAGCTTAAAAAACAATATTAACAGAAGATTCTTAGACAAATTGTATCATTTAAAGTCATTTTGAATAAAATATTATTCATTCAGCAAGTTTTGTCAACATTTTTGAATAAAATTTTCTAATCTAAAAAATACTTTGAAGAGCTATTTGGAAACTGTTTACAGGTAACTCTTATGTATAAATAACACGTTTAACAAGTTATTTTTTTTAGTGATAGCAGACAATTTTGGTTTTAGATTAAAGACTCACAAGGTCCTAAATCAAAAGGATATGATGCAGAATAAGACTTAAATCTTATCAACATAAAATTATAATAAATACTACACGTAGTTTTATGTATGCTCCATTTTTTTTGCTTTAAAATACATTGCTTAGAAACACAGATTATATATATATATATATATATATATATATATATATATATATATATATATATATATATATATATATATATATATATATGTATATATATATATATATATATGTATATATATATATATATATATATATATATATATATATATATATATATATATATATATATATATATATATATATATATATATATGTATATATATATATATATATATATATATATATATATGTATATATATATATATATATATATATATATATATATATATATATATATATATATATATATATATATATATATATATATATATATATATATGTGAAAATATAAGTTTTTCTTCACTTAGTTCATAAGTTTAATGATATCTTCATAAATCATTTTATTAGCGTCTATACCCCAAATGAAATCCACGTGATTCCATGCATCAATGTTTTTACTAAACACTATATTAGGAAGAAAAGGTCTCAGATTGGTGTTTACATCAGTTGGATCAGATAACCAATCATTGGTGCCCGTAAATAAAGCAACAGGAACTTTAACTTTACTTATGTTATATAATGGTGCAAATTCCTATAAAAGAATGGAAAAAAAAAAGTAACAAAATTAAAAAAAACATGCAAAATATCGATTAACAATAAAATGAAACAACTTGATTTTCATTTAAAAATATTAGTGATTTTAAAATGTTAACTTTTGAAATAAATATAAAAAAATTTAATATAAACAATATTTATAAACAATTATTAAAATATTTAAAGTAAATGGAGATTATAACCTCGTTATCAAGTAAACATCTTTTATTTGAAGTAACATTTTGAATCATACACTTGATAACATGGGTATCTATACTAATTTGAAATACTGTAATATAATTTATAAAACAGGATTATCCATTAAAAAAATTGCACTAATATTCTACTTTTTATAATTGCTTTAAAATTGTATTTTGAAAAAATGATTTAAGATATTTAAGCCTCATACAACACAGAGTGAATTATTTTATGCAAGATAGATGGACAAAAAAATTAGTTCAAGGATTTGACTAATTTGTGATATTTTTACAAAAACAATCACTCATTACAACTCGAGGTAGTATTACAACAAACATTCTATAGCAAAGTTATAAGCAATTAAAATGACCTTAAAATATCATTTTATTTATGAAAATATTTTAGTTACAAATTTACAGTGTTTATATTCAACAAGATTATAAGAAAAGACCTATTTTTTTGCTTTAAAGGATTTTACTTAAAAAGATAAGTTTTAATCATTTTAATTAATTAATTCAAAAAAAAAAAAAAAAAAAAAAAAACAATGTGTGAATATGATTTGAAAAAATGACACTAAAATCTTATTTCGTTTTTAATTTTTTAACGTATACTGCTTTTTATAGCCACATGTAGCTAAACTAATTTTTCAATAGTGTATAGCTTAAGTCCTTAGCTGTACAATGATGTATAATTTATCACAAAATAAAATCACAAGTTTTTTAAACTTTTTTTTTTTTCCAAATTGTGTGCACTTCAAAAATAAAGTTATTTGAAGAATGGCAGAAACATAGATAAAGACAAAAGAATTACCCGCATATTACCTTCATGTTACTGATGTAACTCAACATTCAGAGAGATCTTTGCAGTTAAGAATGTCTTTCATCAAAATTCCCCATAAAAATGGTCTGCAGCACATATGATGGTTTTTCAAATGAAAACAAAAATTGGTTAAAGAATTTAAAATAAGTTTCAGCCCTGTCCTTTTCATTAACTAAAGGTAGTCAGGGATGGCACAAAAAAAAAAAAAAAAAATTTAAAAACTCGTTTTTTAAAACAAAAAAAGGCTTGAAAATGTTTCTAGTGCTGTTAAAATAGGCTTGTTTTTTCAAAAAAAAAAACAAAAAAAAAACAAAACAAATGATATTACAACAAGAGAAACGAACCTAAAGTTTAAAAAAATGTCTTTTGACAGCTATAAGACAAAAAAATGTCTTAACTTATTTCAATACCTATTAGACTTAGAGAAATTGTTAAACACAACCTTATACTCTCAATGATAGATAAAAAAAGTGTGCAACAGTTTAACTGATATACACTTTCAACAAAAATGTTTCATATGTAATGCTATGTAACTCACAAAACAATGAATGGTGAATTATATTAGATATAAAAAAGTGGCAAATTAGAAGCAATTAAAATAAATTTAGTATCCAGTAACGTTTAAAAGATATCAAGCAAAATTTAAAAAAACCGTATGGGACTTATTTTAGACAAACCAAAGTTTGGAAGTTATTTAAAACACATACTTCAAATTGAGCAATTCTCAGAAAAGTCTTAAGAAGCTAAATAAATAAAGATTTGTGTTGATTCCATGAACATTATTTCAGTAAAAAAAATCACATTTATTTCTACGAATATAGATTTGCTTAATATGCTCTTGGTAAACAAGAGCATATTAAAAATGGAACGGAAGTTTTGAATTCAGTTGTCCCACTTGTAACACCACCACATCAGGTTAAAAATAAAATTATGTGACTATTACTAAGAATCTGATTTGTCAAATAGTCAATATGACAATTATTCATCTTATTAATATTATTTTATTTGCAATATATTTTTAAATCAGAAAATAATTTTGCATTAATTGTTTTCTTATAATTTTTTTTTTTCAGAAAATGTATTTAATACCCTAATATTTTTATCATGTGAGTGATAAGAACATCAGAATTTAAATTTGAAACTTAAGTTTAGGTGTTTTCACTCCAAGAATAGTCTTTGTAATACTTAAAAAGCAAAATATAAAAATTTTTCGTCACAATAATAAATAATAAAAGATATAAGTTATAAGCACCTGATTGTACCGTTTGATGTTTCCTGACTTTCCATAATCAAACATTTGAAACTTTCCACTTTTTATCATCTATGTAAAAATTAAAGCATTTAAATTAAAATGAAAATAATAAAGGATCCAAAAATAAAAACTATTAGCTGTTTTCAAGTACAGATTGGTCCTAAAAATATAAAATTTAATCCTGCAGTTAACTATATTTAAGATAGGAATTAATCTAGAATAGAAAAGCAAGAAAACAAATGACATAACTTAAAAAGTGTAAATTGTGCGAGTCAGGAAAACATGACATTGAGAGAGAATTCTTAAACACTTATGTTCAAGAAAAAAAAACTAGATAAATGAAGTGTTTCTTGAGCATGAATAAACAGTTACAATATAAGAATGCAACTTTGCCAAATCAACAAGATTATGTTTTGGTAGATAGATCATAAGATTTAAGTAGTTACTACGGTAGTATATGAAAAAAAAAATATATATATATATATATATATATATATATATATATATATATATATATATATATATATATATATATATATATATATATATATGCACATACTTTTTTTTACTTAAGTCCATTTTTTCATAACGGTTAAATTTTTAAATTTTTTTTAATGTTTTAAATTTTAAAAAATAACCCATTCATTTATTATGAAGTTTTTTACAAAGACAGCTTTTAATATCAGTATTTTACGTGAAATTTGTTGGAGTATTCCATTTTTTGGTACTTGAAACTGTTCCACTGCTACTTTGTTTTGCCAGAATAGTGGATAAAACACTTGCTCAGCTGTGCAACAAATTATTATATTAGTAAAAAAATTTTAATATTAAATTTCAAGAGATTTTAATTAACATTCAAAAGTTTTCTGGTGGAATAGTTCACCCATCATTAAATAAGATTTTAGTTTTTTCTTATAAATAATTGTGTTTTTTTCGTCACAGATGTTATTTGGAAGTATATTCTAAAGTTTAGGACCATAGTGGGATAATGCTCGATTACCAAAACGATTGTTGTATTTTGTTTCCTTTAACTTTAGTGTTTTTTTTGACATCGAGTAGTGAATTAAATTGTAGGAAGTTGGTGCTTCCAGTATAATAGATTTGTGCATTATCAAAAGGACCTTAATATATATTTTTCTCTAATTTTCAGCCAATGCAATTTGTTAAATTCCTGGTTGTTTACATGATTTTCTAGTCTAGTTTTAAATACCAGTCTTGCTGCACAAATTTGAACACACTGCAGTATTTTTAATAGAGACTTTTCGATTCCAAATTAGAGGGAGTTGCGACAATTTAGCTGTGCAAATGTGAACATACTATGGTATACAAATCTTTGTGCAATAAGAATTATTTTATTTTGGATACTTTGCTGAATATATTATAAATAAACAATGTTTTTATATTTTCAATTAATAACTTTTTAGAAAGAATTAAGAAAAAGTGGACTCAAAGAAAATGGTATAATTAAAATAAAATCTTTTAGTTATAAACAGTCAAAAAAAAAAAAAATCTTTGCTATAGTTGGAGTTTTTAGACGTTTTTTAAGGCGCGGCATACATTTCACTTCCCACTTAAAAGCTTCTTGTGGCAAAATTATGTTCTCAGTATTAATATGTGGAATTGTTAAGTAGCGTTTCCAGATATTAATACTGAGAACATAGTTTTGCCACAAGAAGATTTTAAGTTCAAAAAAATCAGTACTGGTATTTTTATGCCCATTTTGTAGTTAATAAATAAAGACAAAAATCTTTACCACACTTGGTGTATAGGGAGTCCTAATGACGCCCAATATGCTGTATCTAAGTCAGGGTGGAAGAAAGCATTTTGAAAATTGGTTTATCATGATAAGATCTTTTTATTTTACCTTTTTAATTTAGTAGATTTTATTATTATTATTTTTTTGAATAATTAAGGTCTTCCTTATAAAATTAGTCAACATAGAAAAGATGTATATATAGCATTATTTATGGATGGCCATGGCAGCCATCTTACAAGTAATCTCGCATCAAAAGTAAAATCCAACAAAGTTAGCGGCTTTATCTTAAATATAACAACATTTTCTTAATTTAGTTTTATTTATGCTTATTGATAACTTTCTACAATTTAAGTTGCTTTTGAGTTTCCAGCTGTCAGGCTTTGCAATCTTTAGATTTTGGTTTCTTCAAATCAATAAAGCAAATTTGGAGAGACATTTTGCACAATTTCTTCCAAGAATCTTGCCATATATTGGTTGACAAGGCTGTTATTCTAATTTTAACAAGACTAACTTGGCTGAAAGTAAACAGAAAAAATTTAGAATCTAGTTTTGGAGCCTTAGGTCTACATCTGTTAGATCAATCAAAAGCTGGCAAAAAAGTGCTGGCGGCGGCAGAGCATACAAAAGATAATGACTCTTTTCATCATGAACTTCGAGCTGCTCTATTAAAAGTGTTGAGCTAACTCCTTCCAAAGATACTCTAACAGCTATAAGTAATAAAAGATAAGGAAAAAAATGAGTCCAAGCAGAATGTGGCAAAGTTCTCACTGAAAAAGTTGCCTTAAAAAAGTAAAAGAAGTGGTTTCAAAAAATAAAAATAAAAAACTTGTTCAAAAAAATAAAAAAGCCAGTTTAAAGTGTATTTACAAAAAAAATTTATGAATAACTTTATCCTTGTATATTTCTAATACGCCCATGAAATTCATGTTGCCTAAAAAATATAATTAAATCTATACAGAAGATGATCTCTAAATGCATCAGTAATATATCTTTAACCAGAAATCCATGTGATTTTATTTCAAAATGTTGTGGATTTCACGAGATAAAATAGGGTTCATCCCAAACCAAAATATAATGCAAGATCTAGAATACAAAACATTATCTAGTTTAACTCTTTGTACCCATTCAACATTGGAATGCTTAAAGGTTAGCTGCTTTTAAAGCATCAGAATACTTTTACATCTCATAATAAGAATGTCTAATCCTTCTAAATATAGCAATTAATTATGCCAAAAAACCACTTCATTCCCACTTAATGGAAAATCATTAGAAAAAACCTTATTTGTATTTTAAAAACTCATTGAGAAAACTTTCTAATGGTAAAAGCATAAAAATTTATTTCTTTATAAAAGGAAGGCCATTTCCACAGAACTTTCGAAATTTGTTAAAAAATACAAAATTTTGGGTATAGAGCCTATCCTAAAGAGGAATAAGAGAAGCCATTCAAATTTGGTGGTAAATCTTACAGCTTATGCTTCACGAAAAAATACTACCTTATGTTATATACATATATTCCACCAAGTTTATCTTAAATAGACTTGGTGGGCAAGGCAAGCTGCCTCACTATGCAATGCGAAGCAGAAATAGGATTTTACTTTTCTGAAAGAAAAATTTCAATTTTAACATTTCAAATATTTTTTAACCAAAAGAAAATTAGCATTAATTATATAAAGATTAGAAAAAGAATCCTGAAATAGAGATTAAGACATTTGAAGAGGAACAGCAATTAATAAGAAAATCTGATTAAACAGGATAATCAACTTTTCGAGCAGAGTGAGATTTATATATGTATATATATATATATATATATATATATATATATATATATATATATATATATATATATATAAACACACACAAACGCACACAAATTGTTTTTACTATGTTTCACAAAAACAATTCGAAGTTTGACATTTTTGTTGGTGTTGCATATGTTTTAAATGTATTTTTTTATTGTTCATAGTGTACCACAAAGAGTACCTAAATCAGAATAAGTTATTTTGAGACTTACTCATTGATATGAACAACACGACTACAAGACTGGATATATAGATTTTCAATAAGAAAACTGAATATCTAATTGCAATTATTAATAAAAACACATTAAAAAAAAACCCATACCTATGTCACAATCTGTACTTAAAATGATAATTCATTGTGGTTCTTTTATTAGGTATTTTAAGTATCCTCCAATAGGTTCTTTGTCTGACAGTGCTATTGAAGCCAGAAACAAGGAAAGCAAAACTGCAAGAGAATAACTAGTAGTATCCCTAGTGTTTTCTTGGCAGAAAACACTAGGGATACAGCTAATTATTTGTTTGTGACATTTGATATATACTTCTGTTGAGTATTTTTTTGAATATTATGCTATTGTTAATAGTTTTGACTATTTTTGTTAGACTTTTTTTTTTTTTGGTAAAGAGATTTTAATATAGTTTATAATAACAAACCAAAGTTGTGTTGTTTTTTGTTTTTAAAAAAAATTTAGAAAAATCTAAAAAAGATCTCTATCATAAACTAAAATGTTATACTGATAAGCTGTTCTGCATTGTATTAAAAAAAAAAAAAAAAACTATTTTCATAGCAACAAGTTATTAAAAATATCTAATAGAACATTGAGATACTTTGTAAGAAACTAAAGAGCAAAAGATCATGTGATAGCAGATTTGTTTATAATTTTAATAAGTTTTTTTTCAAATATATTGTTTATTATTAAACTGTGTTAATGATATAGATTATAAAATTCTATAAAAAATTGGCGCTTACTGTTTTTTGAATAAAATATTTAGACTTATATTAGTCAGGAATTAGTCCGGATGAACCGAAAAAAATAGAGTAAACTTTTTTTATAAAAACTGGATATTTTTCTTTTAAATATAGAAATATAAACAAAAATTCAATGTCTTGTAAAAAAATCAGATCAATATGTTGAATGTTTTTTTATTTATAAGCCTATTTCCTCATTTTTATTTGAATGACGCATAGTGTGCCCATCCTGAAGGGTTTTTTGATCAGCATTTGCACAGATTTTTTTTATATTTTTAATATTGTTTTTATGTTATATAAAACTCCAACTATAGCAAAGATTTTTTTTTGACTGTTTATGACAAACAGATTTTATTTTAATTGTACATGCATCTAACTTTTCCATTTTCTTTGAGTCTTTACTTTTTTTTCTTAATTCTTTTTAAAAAGTTATTAATTGAAAATATAAAAACAAAAATTAAAAAAAATATAAAAAACTTTCTAAATTTATTTAAAGTAAATTTATACTAATTTGGTACAAAGGGGTTACCATAGAACAAAATAAAAGGTCAATGATTTTTGCTAACCACAAACACTTTGAGGTCGGCAGTTAGGTTGATTCCCAAGGAATATTTTATACTGTATATATATATATATATATATATATATATATATATATATATATATATATATATATATATATATATATATATATATATATATATATAGTATAAAATATTTTGAATGTTAAAACATAAATACTTAGTTTCAAAAATAATAATAAAATACTTTAAAATACCTGAGCAAAGTGAATCATATCTTTAGATGATGTTCCAGCAGGAAGATGTGACATGTAAACTGGAAGTCTTGTTTTGTTTAAATTGGAAACATCAAAACCAGAAATAAGAAAAGCAACATTACTGCATACTATTTCAGCAGAATGCGACAGACCACAAATATCTTGAGCAAGAAAGCGCATAAAATAAGACTGTGGAAGAAAGTCATTTAAACCAAATATTTTAATAAGAAGCTAAAAACACACATAAAAAAACAATTTTATGGAGTATATTGTAAAAACAATATACTCTATAAAATTATATATATATATATATATATATATATATATATATATATATATATATATATATATATATATATATATATATATATATATATATATATATATATATATATATATATATGTTTGTATGTGTGTACATACAATTATTATAGTATAGTACACATTAATTGCAACCAACTAGCAATGCAAACCCAATCTATTTCTCTAAATCATTGCCAACATTTAACACCTTTTTTGATACAAAATTTTAAATAAATCAGTTATTCAGAAAACATTCAGCCAATTCACTGACCTTAGTATATGTGAGATAAAACTGTTAATTTATTATTAAATGTTTATTTTAAAATTATTAAATACTTAGTAAGATTAATTATAAAGTAACAAACTATCAAAAACACAAATAATTTTTATCCGTATGAAAATTAATATCAGGCATTTAAAACATTTTAAAATAGCTATAAAATATTTTGAACCTCAATTTCTGTGGTGAAAGTTGAAATAGTTTTAATAGCTCCTCGAATGTGTTTGACAGTTGCCACAGGCGCTAGAGCAATAAAAGCACGAATTTTGGTAGCCAGTTCTTTGTTTTCCCCAAATGCGATAAAACCAATAGTTGTACCTAAGTAAAAAGTCAAACCATTTTGAAAATTGTGACTTTTTAAGAATCTAATGTGTTGCAATGCAATACATTAGATTTTTAAAACATTAAATGATAAATTGAAAAAATGATTATGATAAATGATTTCCAAATGATAAATTCAAATGATTTCCAAAGATGCTATTTAATATTTGTCTTTGTTCTTAATAATTTGTATGTGTTGCTGAAATTTTGAAAATAAATAGGTGCTTAAATAAATAGGTGCTTTGGGATATTGTCAAGATAAACAACAAGTTGGTTGGTTTTACTTAATGTCATTTTTGTGTCTTGTTAAACTATTGACACTTAATATAAAAATCCCATTAAATTATATGACTGCTTTCCGGGACAACTTTTACTTTAAAATAATTATAAGTAAACAGATTTCCTTGTGTCAAGTCTTATTTTCAATTAAAAATATTTATAAAAAAACAGCTTTCCTTGAACATGAGACTTAATCTCATGTACATCGTTAACAGTCTTTAATATTATGATTGTATGGATCAGGTTTTTGTGGTTAACTGAGATATAACCAGTAGCAATACTGGCAAATACCAAGGAGTATAGCAACTCTTCCTGTAATTATTGACTCCAACATACTTTGGTTCTCTGTAGGAATCATTTAAATAGAATTCATATTTCATATTTCTTAGAATATTTTTTTTCTATATTTATATATATATTTATATATATTTTACATTTCTTTTGTTTGGAGAAACAAAATTTTAATAAAAATTCACTTATCAATGTCTAGCTAGAGATACTCAGATGCAGTTCACCCACAAATGTTTGTGATTTGGATAGTAGTCTGACTCTTCCTGATATTTTTTGGCCCAGTAAGCTGTATCCTTTTTGATATTATTTGTTTTTTTAAAGATGTTAATAAATGGGTTATGAGAGATTCTGGTGTTAAAACAATTTGGAAAGCTACAGAAAGATTGAGCATTTTGTAAAAAACATGCAAGTAACAAATGACTGTGCCTTAAGAAGTATTTGCCTTATTTAAGAATACATTTTTGCCTGATGATTAAAGGCAGAATGTGATAATTTGTATCAAAATTTTCTACTGAGTACTATTTTCCATAAAAAGTATGAAAAAAATGAAAAAATCAAACACAATCAACATAATCATAATCATTAAAAACAATAATCAACATAATTCTGTTACACATGACCATGGGAGCTAAAATGATCATTTGTAAATAACAAAGATAACAAAAGTATAGTGTTCCTGGATTTTGACATTTTTTTAAAATATAACTAATGGTGGAAGTAGCTACATATTGTATATGTAGCTACTTCCACCATTTTTGAACTAATTTTTATAATTCAAGAGCAATTAGTTTTTTTTTTAATTATAAGTTAATTTATATCCCTAAGGGCACTACAGTCAAGGAGGTCACTACAGTTGAGAAGGCTACTTTAATTGTGGTTGCAATCCTCTCTCAAATCTATAACTCCAAAACACAAACCATGGTGAATAAGGTTGCTATGCGGAAAAACAAGTTGAGCGCGGTACTACCAGGGATGTGGTGGGGTTCAAACTCAGAACTTCTTGCTTATAAGGCAAGTGCTCTACCGCTAGACCACTTTTTTCACTACATAATTTATTTTATTATATTATTATATATTTTTTTAATATAAATAAATGCTATACCCTGTTTTACGCATTTTACATAAGCAAATGCAATTTGTGGAGTTCCATTATTAAAGAAACACCTTTTAATGGTATTTATATAACAATACTTTGTATATTTGAATAGGTTTAAATCTAACAAAACAATATCCTACCAACTGAGGTCAATATCTTACCAATGGAAGTCGTATATATGGGCTTGCTCAATAAGATAACCTCATCTTGGAGAAACTATTATTCATAGTCAGTTAAAACTCATTATAAAACAATATAGAACATGTAGACCTAAAAATGATTTTCCATACAATAATAACGGAAGTGTTATTCTTATATATAAAATTTTCAGTGGGAATTCATATATAACTTCAAACCCACACTTATGTATATTGTATTCAGTAGTATTAAATTAAATTTATAGCAAAGCATGTAACTTTTTTGCTGATAGATACAATATAAATTAATGAAAATAGTACAGTATTTGGATTTGATCTGATAATTTCAGACATAAGTGAATGGCATCCAGGAAAATACCAGTGTACCAAAAATTCCTATTTTGAAAAAACTTAAATGTTTTAAATTTTTTCCTGTATACATTTTAAAAATATTTACCTAGTACAAGGCAGAAATTATAAAAAAACTATATTTAAATATAAAAATTTAAATCAATCTCCAGGGTTATCTAAAAGTCACCTTATTAATTAATATGGAGCCAAAGATAGATGCATATTTAATAGGGAAAAAAGTCTCAATTCAGAAAAATTGTTCATTTTATGAAATAGACCCACTCATTATGTAGAGAGCTGAATCATACTATTTATCTTCTCTGCATAAATGGTATAATAAATGGATGGCTGCTGGGGGAAACATAAAAGCAAAAAAAAAAAAAAAAAGAAGCCAAAAAATTTTTATTAATGTATAATTCTCCTTTGTTGACCAAAAATTCAACTTCTCATTCCAATATTGAATTTTTTTTTTTTTTTGAGAATGCTAATGGAGAATTTTAGTTTGTAAATAGTTATCTTTCTAAAATCACTTTTACCTTTATTAAACTAAACACATAAAATCGCTTTATTAAACTAAACTTAGATTAGATAAAATGTATTCAAGATTCCTAAATAAACTTAGTTGTTTTCAAATTCATCTGCGTGAGCAATACTAATAATGGTAAACAACATTCTAATTTACCATTTCTATACAATTAATTTTTAAATAAATCAGAGAATTTTTTATAATATTTTGTATTAAGCTATTATTTTCTTTTTAGAAAAAAGGATAATAAATTAATTAGTCAGACATTAAGCTCTTATTACAACAAGCATGTTGTAATGTTGTAACAATCCAAGTTTTCTTGCATGTAAGTTTTCTCTAAAAAATTACCAGCAAATATTTAAAAATTTGCAAGTTTTGGAATGGTTAGATGGACCGCTTTTTAAATAAATAAAAAAATTCATAGGATATGATAAACATAGATACCCCAACCTTCAAGGTACCAGTGTAAAGATTAGGCATACAGAAAACAAGTAACTTAAAAACATCTTGAAAAATTATTTTTCAGTATATAAGACTCGTATAGCTGTATTCTTAATGGATGAAATGTAAGGAATTTAAATAACAAATTTCATTTATTTTCTAAGATAAAAAATATAATGATTTCTATTGAAAGAACAGTTTCTATTGAAAGCTCTCTATAAAGAGCTCAGTGTTGATTTATTTTTTTATTTTATTTTACTTCACCTCCTCAAGGCCGAGAAGGTCACTACAGACGAGGAGGCTACTTATTCTGTGGCTATAACCCTCTCTCAACTCTATAACTCGTGAAACACGAACCTTGATGAACAAGGCTGCTGCGCGGAGAAACGAGTTGATTTACCAAGGGAAATATTCTATGCATATAACTTATGCTTGAATGCAGAGAAAAAAGAAAAATTCTTGTTCTGTCTATGATATGATTTCAGTGTTGAAAAGATGGAATAGAGGAGAAGGGACCTAGGATAAACAATGAGTAAATAGAGAATATTGGAAAGTGATTGTGTGGAGAGTATAGAAAAGGAACTGCAGCAAACTCTACTCTCTGTGCAGTTTGTTAGCAATCGGTTTACAAAGGGAGCTCTTAATATTGGTGCTCACAAAGGGTAGAAAATGTAATTTTGGTGAATGTAAAGAATGATTTAAATAAGTAATAAAAATAAAGAGTTGTAAAAAAATAGTGTTTGTAAGTTTTATTTTGGAGATACCATTGTATCAGCTAGTAAAGAGGTATCAATGGCTAGGGCAAGGTGTATCTAAGCTAGATAATCATACAGGTGTTTGACATAACTCTAAATGATAAGAATGGGAGAAATAAACTTAGACAAAGATTGAAAACAGTGAGTTTATCTGAAGAATGTATAATGGAAGATTAGTATGGTTTGGGCATGTAGAACATAAAAATGCCAACATAAGGGTATCAGCATGTAGAGACTTAGCGGTTTTAGGAGAAAAATGTAAAGGTAAATGCAGAAAAACTTGGAAAAAGTGCATTACAAATGTTAAAAAAAGGCTTCAGGTAAAGAAAGAGAATATTCAAAATGATGATTATTAGAGAAATAGAATAATAAGAAACATCTAATTGAAAAATTGCGGAAACATGCAAAACTATGATAATGAAAATTTTCATTATGTAAATCAAATTAACAACTATCAAAATAAAAAGTAAACAAGCTTAGAAAGCTTTATCTCTATAGATTTCTTAAGATAAAATGATGTCATTTTGAAGGATTTATATCTTAATTTTATAAAACTTTAGATAAAAAAAAAATTATAAAAATAATTTTTTATTATTTGAGGTAAGGTTACAATTCATGAACAGTAATCAATTTATCAAACCAATATTCTAGTGTTTTAATTAAAAATCATCCCAATAATTTAATTTTTTTTTTAGTGAAAAAACATTTCTATTTGTAATGCCCAAGATATACTTTCTAATATCTGTTTAACAATTGAAACCGTAAGGTTAAAAATTTAAATCTTTTTTTCTTCTCTATTTTCATTGTATTTTTTTTAATTTTAGGGAAAAAAAAGCTAGCCTTCTCCCTAAAATAAATTGTATAATTGTACTATTTTACAAATATTTAAAAACTAATTAAAACTAATTAAAAAGAAAAGCTAACAAATCAAATCAAGTAAGAGCTAACATATCAGCTTAATCAATTTTATCAAACAAACAACTTAATCAGCTTTATCAACAAACATTGGCACATTTATTTTGTGTGTGAGAGAAACTTGAGAGTTAAAAAGTTTTTTTTTTTTACAATATTTAACTATATCTATATTTAATAACAAGTTTCAAACATTTCACATTTCTCTTTTGTTGAAAAACTATTACCATTAAATCAAGGCTGGTTAAATTTAATATATTCATAACTTCAAAACACTGAAAAATTATTTGATAAAATTTAAAACCTGTCAATGAGTATACATTTAGTTTATATTTGTAAAAAAACTTTTTTAACTAACATTTCAGAGTTTTTGTTGTTCCCAGGCTCCAACCATTATGACTTTTTTTAAGAAAAGCATCATCTTTATAATATATAGGCATAAAAAAGATATATAAATTATATAAAGATATAAGCCTAAACAAGTTTGGAGTTTGCTTTATTACTAAAGGTTTTCTCAAACAAAAAAAACTTGTCTACTTGTCTTGTTTATGATCAAAAAGTATTAACGTATTATATAAAGTATAAACCTTGAGAATGTCCAACATAAAATAAATCTGTTTTATTGCTCTTCTTTAATACATAGTTTATTGATGCAGGAAGATCATACTTGGCCATTTCATCAAAACTAAATGACAAAAATAAATTTTTTTATTATAAAAGCGGTTATTTTTGAAACTTGCTTGATATGTTTTACTAAACAAAAAGAAAAATGTACACATTCAAATAAATTTATTTCATTTTTGAATTACCTAAAATCCCAGAATTCTTTATTCTTTGTTGTTAAATTGATATGCTTTGACGAGTAGGTATTACCTCTACTGTTACCAAGCCAAACATCATACCTGAAATCAAGGAAAACTTTTTTTTTAATGTTTAATTAATACAACTATTAATTATTTTTAGAAAAGAACTTAAATATCATAATGATATAAATAACCCTTCATCTGCCAAAATAAATCCAAGACTTTGCTGTGGTGGATTCATTAGAAATGCAGCAGAAGAATCAAGAAGTCCATGTTGCAAATATACAGTCTTTCCATTACTAGGTTTAAATAATCCATGAGGAATACGATGAAGCGTTAAAATATATCCATCATCAGTTTTTACGTAATGCGATTCACTTGGATAACCATAGAAAGCAATTATTTCAGACTAAAAGTTGTAAACAAAATAGAAAACAAATTAATATATTTATGTATAAATAAAGGTTTATTTAAACATAAATACATAAACATATAAAACTAAATTAAATGTTTATTATAAAAAATTTTAAGAGTATATGTATACTTTTTTTAATAGTCATCAGTACAATTAGTTAAGTAAAGAAATTATATTAACATTAAATTTAAGTCATACAAATAACATTACATTCCACAATTTTGATAACTGTATGACTGGAAATACTGAAATACCTTCTTATCCAGATATCTCTATAATTACCAAAATATGGTTTGCAAACCCTCTATAAAAAATGTGACTGACTATGTTTTCTGCACAAACAAATCTATATAAAACTCTTTAAAGTGTTGAGGTGGAGGTATTACCATATATATTAAAGGAAAGTATGCAGTATCTACTCCAAAAATTGCTAAGTTGGTTGATACTACAATAGAGCAAATTGTTATTCGAGACTAAATACAATCAAGTTTTAGTTGGATGTATTCATTACCTCCTAATTCATTATATGGTGTTAACAAATCATAAAATAAATAATGCAGTAACTGCTGCAAAAAAGTATATCCATTAACATATTCTTTCTGGTCTTATAGTTGCTGGAGATTTCAATTACCTTAATATCAATTGGAAAAAGGTATTCAAACTCTAAAAAAATTTAATCAACAAGGCCAAGAGTTTACAGATGCAGCAAGTTAAGTATATATGAATCAAAATGTTACACACCCAACATTTAATTCTGACAACTATATCTGGTGTGCATGGTGTTAACAGTATACGCCAAATATGAACATTTTACAAGAGAGCATTTTTTTCAAATAAGTTTCTGGAGTGAAATAATGATATAGAGACATCAAATTTACATTTTAATAGTAAAATATGTAGTGTTTTGTTACTATAGATACAAAATTGTTAATGCCAATGTGTCACCAATTATATTATAATTAGTAATACATTTGACTTTTTTTTGAATGCCCTGAATGTATAAAAAATTTAATTCATTATTCACCCATGAGCATTATTTATACAGCACATAATATGTTACATTTTAAACTTTTATTAATTTTAAAATTTTATTAAACAACCAGAGTAATAAATCGAAATCAAATTATGGTAAACTATTATTTAATTATAGATAAGAAAATATGTTCAGTTAGATCATTACTTTTACAAATTAATTGTCCTGAAATATTCATTAGCAAGGACACAGATAAGTGTTATCAAACTTTTACAAACATCCACCACAAAGCATGTAAAAAATATATTCCTAAAAGAGCAATAAAAGGATCTTATATACAACTGTGGATCTATAATAATATCTATATATAAGTTAAACAAGCTATAAGATTAAAATATGAACGATTTAGCAAATTAGTATAAAATAAATGTAAATCATTGTTTCTGCAGCAACAATACAATAAGAAAACAAATTAGTAAAGCAGTTTACATAAACAGTTGAACTACAAAAAAATAATAGATTTGTCAGTAAATTTGTTTAAAAATAACATAAAGTATTTTTCAACTATGCAAATACCACCAAAAAAAAAAAAGGAACAACCTCTATATGTATGTAAGGAAACGTTTTAATGGATATGATATTGTAAACATGTTGAAAAATAGTTTTAATAAAGTATTTGTATTAAAACTATTTTTCAACATGTTTTCAATACAAAGATACATACAACATTCCATATATAGTACCTAAAGTGAATAGCGCTCTATTGTTTTTTTCTTATTGAGATAAATGATAGTAGAAAACAAACTGTAAAAACTTGATGTTAATAAAGTCATCAATGTTAATGAAATTATTTTTTTTGTACTTAAAAAGTGTTATAAAACTTTAAGCATTATAATACCATAGCATTATAATACCGTAGCATTATAATACCATAAGTTATTATCAGAAAAGAAATTATCTCAGTTATGTAAATGTGCAAATAACTCTTCTTCTTCTAAAAAAAAAGGAGATAAAAATGATGCATTTAATTACAGACCAATATCTCTATCATCAATATTATGTAAGATTATTGAACCAACTACTCATGATGTAGTTAAGGATTATTTAATTGAAAATAGTGTATTAAATGAAAATCAATATGGAGGAAAATCACATTTTGGTAGTAACTTTGGTGATATTATTCAATCAAATCTAAAATAAGAATTTCAAGTTAATACAGCAGTTTGTTAAGCTAATTTAATTATGGTTTTCATTTGTCAAACTTTTAAATACTTAGATATAAATATGGTTAATTAATTATGCACAACATTTGTACATCCACATCTTGAATACACTACACAAGTTTGGTCTCCTTATCTTTAAGAGGTTATTAAAAAAATTTAAAAATTCATTAGAGTGCAACCAAACTCAAACCAGCTCTTAAAAAACTCCTAACAAAAAGCTATTAAAAATTATGAATTTGACAACATTGCTAGAGCATAAACTACCAGGTGAATTGATCCAGCAATTTAAAATTGAACACGAATCAAACAGTCATGGCGAAAAAAGTACAGACAACAATAAAAACTTTTTTATAGTTTTGTCTTATTCTTTTATTATTCTAGACCTTGGTAAATTAATAGTAATTATGTTAAGCCACCAGTATACTGTTTTTAAGGAGAATGAGTATTGATTTCCGCTCATATTTTTACTTTTTATCATTTTTTGTGTTAGTGACTTATTGTATATTCTCTTGGACTCTATTCTAGTCAGTATTACTGCTTATTAGTTTATTTACAATTAAATGGGTTTATTTAAAAAAAACCTTAGACATTACTCCAAGAAAAGCATCTGTTGTTATTGCCTATGCAAATAATGGCATCTCATATCAGAATATTGCTGAGAAAATGGATATTCACAAATCTACAGTGGGTTGTATTGTAAAGAGATTCAGAAAAACGAGTAGTCGCAACTGCAGAAGATGCTTGGGAAACCAGCTGATGCAATGACAATGCCATTAAATGTGCCAATATAATAGTTACCAATCCATTTGCTACATCATCCGAAATTGCTGCATCCCTGCCTGTTGCAGTTAGTTCTTTTACCATTCGTTGACAACTCGCGGATGACTTCTGGCTATGTCGAAGTATACCCGCCAAGAAACCATTGCTGAATGATGTCTAGAGGAAGAAATTAGTGATTTTTTGCAAGAAGCACTTACATTGGATGCCTGCCCAGTGGGAAAAAACATTCTTCAGTGATGAGTCGATATTTTGCCAGTTTAATGTTTAGACGTGTATCCGGTGCAGGGTACAAACCACGTTACATCGAGCCATAAAACATCCACCAAAAATCATGGTTTGGGGATGTATGTCTGCTGCTAGCTGTGGCAGCATACATTTCATTCCAAAAGGGGAAACTACGAATGCAGCCAAGTACAAGGTAATCTTGGAAAACAAGCTGAAACCCAACATGTCCATACAGAAGTGTAATACGTTCCAGCAGGACTTGGCTTCGTGAAAGAAAAACAAAATAAATCTCAAGAAAAACAAAATAAAGCTTCTAGACTGGCCTGGAAACTCTCCTTACTTAAATTCACTTGAGAATCTTTGGTATATCATGAAGAGAAAAGTGGCAATCCATGCTCCATCAAATATGCAGGATCTCCTCTATTGACTGAAATGAGTTTGTATTGACTGAAATAACTGTTGAATTGTTAAAAAAATTGTAGACTCCATGCCAAAGAGATTAAAACTGGTGCTTAAACATAAGTGTACTGCCACAAAGTATTAAACTGTTTTATTAGTGATGTATGCCTATTTTTAGGATTAATATTATTTGGATTCCCAAAAATGAACGATTTAAATATGATTTCAACCTACATCAAAAGAAATGCATTTTAGAATGAATCCTTTTGCAAAAGCAAGTAGTTTTGCAACAGAGTAATTATTCATTGGAGTAGCTTGATAAACGAAATCATAGAAGCTGACTTAATTTACCAATTCTACTATCTAGACAAACTGCGTAGCAATATTATAAAAAAACAAAAATTTTTCAAAAACTAATAAAAAAGTATTGTCAGTACAAAGTACAATATCTTATGCTATTGGACTTATTGTTGTATAAATTGCTATTAAGGTTTCTACGCCTTTCTTTTTTTGCCAAAAATAACAAAAGATTAGTATTTTTCATTTTATTTTGTATAAGTTTTTGTATTTACCTTTTCGTTTTATAGTTTTTGTTTTCGTTTTGTAGTTTTTGTGTTTTGTCTTTTCGTTTGCGTAAAGTTTGTTATTATTTGTAAAGTTGTTATTGTTGTTCGCTGTTAATTGAGTGTTTTCATATTTGAATTCATTGAGTGTTTTTATATTTTTTTTGTATTATTATTTTATTTATTATAGCTTAATCGTTATTTTTTTTTAATTAATTTATTTTAGGTTTACTTTTATTTAAGCGGTTTGTTGTTTTTTATTTATTTATTTAGTTGTCACTGAAAGGGTTAGTATTTAACTAGGACACGGGTTTTGAAGTGGAGGGGCGTTATCGTCAATTTGTAAAAAAATTCCTCTATATTTAAAAAAAAAAAAGAAATCTCCTTGAGAAAAAAAAATGGGGCGGGGACAGGGCAGGGGGAAGCGTGTCCCGAATCTCCTCGGTGTAGTCGGCCCTGCTACATGAGTGACACTAGTTTTGTAAAATTTGTAATTTTTCAATTTTTGGTTAAATAAATTAATAAAAAAATAGCGAAAAAGCAGTCAGTGGCCATATCAGAGGTGAAAAGAAAACATAAATTGGTTGCTTGTTATCAAAATTTGAACTTAAAGTTCAAAATACTATAAAAAACTAGATTATTCTACTATTATCTTTTCTTTGATTTTGTTATTTAGGTGCCCCAAAAAGACCTAACGGTCTTGTCACAGAGTACCGCGGAAGTGCATTTAACCAGGAAGTTCACGCCTCCTTCCTTACCGTGATGCGAAAATATGTTCAGAGTTCGTTTCGAACTTGCATCGCCTGCTTCTAAAGCAAGCGCTCTAACCAC